ACACACACACACACACACACACACACACCAATGTCAGTCATCAGTGCAACCCTCGTCTTCGACGAACTGCTCGCTGCAGCTGTCGGAATCGGGGTCGTCCTCGACAATCTTTGTGCGAGGCTTGCACTTCCGTTTTTTTTTTGTTCGGCTTCGTAGCCGGACTGGCAGTCTTGTTCTTCCAAGGCCTGCCACGTGGAAGTTTCGGCCTCGACACATCGTCGACAGGGGGGGCCTTCCTCTTCCTCCCAACCCTGCTGACCCACAGGTTGTCATGTTGGCTCCCCTCTAAGTTGTCTGGGAATTCGGGGGAATTCTCCGGCGACCCGGCAGGCTCCGCTGTTTTCTTCCGAAGCTTGTACACGGTCGTTGGTGCATGCTGTTGTGGCTCCTCCTCGTTGTGCGCCATCTCGTCATGCTGCTGCTCCTCGCTCTCTCCCACCCGTTTCGCATGTTGGTCCTCCGACCCCTCTTCTTGCTGGTCCGTGCCCTTCCCTTCGTCTTGTTCCATCTCCTCCTCTCGCTGGTCCATGCAAGCCTCTTCTTCTTCCTCCTCCATCTCTTCTTCTTCCTGCGCTAGGTGGGCTATCTCGTGTTCTTCCTCCTTGTCTTGCTGGCCCATCTCCTCCTCTTCCACCTTGTCTCGCTGCCCCATCTCCTCCTCTTCCTCCTCCTCGTGCTGCCCCATCTCCCGCGCAGGCTCTGGTTCATGCTCTTCAACCTTCTTCTTTTGTTTTTGCAGTTCTCTACGGGTCGGTACCACTGCTCGCCGCTCCTCCTCCTCTCTCATTCTCCTTTGCACCCGTTCGCGATCCGCATCAGCCATTGCCTTCGCACGATCGGCCTCCGCCTCATCCGCGTCGATCGGACCAGGGCAAAGCACCATCTCAATGTCGGTGTCTGTCTGCGGTATCTCAACATCAGACTCGATGTCGTACTGCGCACTTGTATTAGCTGTCCCTTGACATGGTGTTGTGGGCGGGCGTTCTCCGTGGCACCGCGTTGATCGCCTCCTCCCAACATATGTGGTGCCCGGGATTATGGGATGCGCTCCCAGCTCAAAGTCATTGTCGGACCCGTCGTTTGCCTCCCCTTCGCTAGACGATTCCGACCATGGAGCCTTTCCCTTCCATATCTCGTCCTCCAGGTCGCTGTCGTCCGTGTCCTCCTCTTCATCATCTTCGAGGTTCTTCGGAATCCGGCCCCTTGGCAACTTGGTTAAGGCCCGTTCCCGGGCCTGTTCCTCCTCCGGTTCCCCCTTCTCCTCCTCGGGCACCGCCAAAAGAGGATCGTCGCCCTCCTCCGCATCCGGAAGAGACTCGAAGAACTCGGCCCACAAATCGACCCAGTGATGGTCCTTCAAGTTTTTGCTCGCCCGCAACAGATTCATATTCCAATGAATGTACACAAGCTTCTCCACGGTCGCGGGCTTCAACCGATTCCGTCGCTTGGAGTGCACCAAGTCCATCGACGACCAATTACGCTCCGCCGGAGTTGCTGTGCTCCACATGCCCATCACTTTGATAGCGATGGCCTGCAACTTCGGCACATCGCCACCATATGTTGCCCACCACTCCGACGGCGAGATAATATCAGCATCCTCGACCGCATCCGGCTACCACATCTTCTTGTCCTTCCGACTGGGGTCGAATGCGGTGGGTTGCTTGTGGAACTCGCGCATGTCTATCATTATATCCCTGTGCGCCTGGGACTTCCAAGGTCCGCCAATTTGCCTCTGCAAGTAACACACCGCGTTCTGCACAAGTGCGCTGTCCCGGTCCAGCAACCACTTCGGATCTCTCCTCCGCGGGTCGAGAAGAAAAGCCAGCGCGTGCACCGGTTGCCGCATCATCTTCATGCGGTCCCTCACCTTCTCCAGGATTGAACTTCGCTGCTCCGGTGTCAGGACAACCTCCGCCAGCATCCTCTCCATGAGTCGGTCGTACTCCACAAGGTTTGACGGTGCTGTCCCGTCCTTGACCATCCTCCGCAGAAGGAGATACAATGGCTCCATCATCTCCACCACCTTCCGTAGCTCCATCCACCAAGCATCCCTCCGCAGTGTGAAGTACACGAGATCCGCTTTCTCTTGCGGCTTCGCGCTCGACCGCCGCATCGCCTTCCATTTCCCCACATTCGTCACGTCCACCATGTCCTTAAAAACTGCCCTCCGGTTGTGTATCCGCTCCAGCATCCGGTACATCGACCCGAAACGGACCTCGGTCGGTCGCAACAGCGTCAATGATGAGTCCAAGCTCATCATGAAACTGTTAGTCGTGTGGTGATTCCTGATGAATTTGACAATGGTGTGGCCCCGCTTCACCGTGCCCTTCACCCAATCCAACTTGCTGATGTCCCTTAGCAGCAAGCTGCAACAATGTGCAGCGCAGGGAACCCAAGGTATCCTTGCAACCGCAGGGTCCGTGCGCCGTTCCAAAATTTGAGTTGCTCTCTTGTTCACCTCCGCATTGTCAGTGCATATCGCGTTGATGCGATGCAGCGCAATCTCCCTCATCATTTTCTCCCACAGTTTCGCCAACGCCGCTCCCGTCTTCTTCTTGCCGTCCATATACACCGTCGCCACCAGAACAGCTCCTTGCTCCCCCGCCGTTAAGAAGTTCATGACAGGCCGCTCCCTCCGATCGTTAGACCTGTCTGTGATGAAAGTGCAGCCGGTGACATCCCAACATTTTGTCAAAGGTTCCACTTGCTTTTGAATGCGCATGAAAATGAACTCCAGCATGACAGTCCGAATGTGTTTCGAAGACGGCAACTTCACCTGCGGTCTGGCGTTCGCCACCTCGAGATACACGTTGTGCAGCTGCTGCGTGGTGTCGAACTCCAGGAATTGGAATGCAATTCCAGCTCTGAACATTGTCTCCACCCACACGACATCCAACTTCTTCTGCGCCGCGTTGTGGATCCATCTCTTGATGGTCGTTTGTTGCATTGAAGCCATTCTTGTAGTGGAAGCACCATCTTCTCCCGTCGCCTGTGCCGCTGCAGGTTCTTTTCCCCGTTGCACCGGCTCCTTCACTGACTCCCTCCCAGCAGCAACCGGCGGTTGTGGCTCCTCATAACCGCGAGGAACAACCGCACTCTCGTCGTCGTCATTGACAGTAGCACCCCCCGCCGAAATGTTGTGAAGCTGCCGATAATTTTGCAGAAGGTATTGCGTCTTCTTGTCCTTCKGCAGCACCTTCGYRCCTTGGGCCACCAGCTTGTGCAATATCTCGCCCGTCCTGAAAGGCCAAGGCTTCTGCAGTTTTAGGAAATGCTCAACGGCTCTTGTGCTCGTGCCCCTGTAAATGGTCGAGCACAGCCGACACTGCAGCCAATACTCTCCCCGCCCCTTTGGCATAGCCTCCTGACCTTGCTCTACATGCGTCTACACCTCCTTCTCGCCCTGCAGCTTCTTTTGCTTTTCCTCCGCCTGTGGGACGAACAAGGATGGGTCTGTAGCCGGCGTGGGGACTTTGTCAACCACCCTAGACGAAGGTGCGCTCGAGCTCGCAATGTCCTTCCCTCCACCCCCTCCTCTTTCCGACTGCCTCCTGCTTCCTTCTCCGCCAACCGCACCCCCTGCCCTGCCGGAGCTGGCCATGCTGCTGCAACCACCTCCTCCGCTTCCAATAAGCAGTTGATAAAGGTGAGATGGGAGGGAGGGAGAGATGGCAAGATGCCGGAGAAGAAGAAGAAGAAGAAGAAGGACTGGCAAGATGATACTAAGGTGAGATGGGAGGGAG